TGAGTCAGTAGTGGAAATTCCTCATCCCTATGGCAGGGGAAAGTCTCTCCATAGGACAACCACTGTTGTCTTCCCTACAAAGCGGTTCTTAAATTTCGATTTAAAGCTTTCGTGACTGCAGGGATTCATCTTCTTGGTACTGTACTTTCGGTAAAGTCACGCAGAAGGGAAGCAATAAAATAATAAAAACAAAACATAATAAAATAAATAATTCTCACGACGTCTCGGCCACAACGCACCTGAGGACGGCTGCTTGCGTTGTGGCCGAGACGTCGTGAGAATTATTTTATTTTATTATGTTTTGTTTTTATTATTTTATTGCTTCCCTTCTGCGTGACTTTACCGAAAGAACCAAGAAAAAAAAAGCGGTTCTTATTTTGTTGACCCTGGAGGGATGATTGGCTGAGTCAACCCCCTAACCACGATTTGAAATCATCACCTCCTGGGTGCAAGCTGCTTACTCTTCTGCTGAGCCACCTGGCTGGATATTCTTCCCGGACACCCTGTGTGTACATACATATTCTGACAATATAATGATTGATTTCTTAAAATCACGTGAAAAAATATGTTATATTTGAATCGGACAAGTCATTATGTGGCTACTTAGAATAGGTTAGGTAATGTTTGTTTTACTCGTGAACTCTCCAAAAACAAATGCTGCTTTGCCACTGAATCGGGAGGCTTTGATTAATTCGTTCGCCCCCATGTGCAGACAATCAAACTGCCTCGTCCGTAACACAGATGTAGAAAGATTAACAGCTCAGTTCAATGGGGTCAGCACATTTGCCCTGTCTAGAAAGCACGTGATATCCAGCCCCATCGCAAGCATTTTATTAAAGTGGATAGGCAGAGAGGTTCAAATAATACTAAGATCTCCCGTGTGGTATATTTAAATATATAGCCTGTCGGGGCAAATGCTGTTCGTGAGCACCTATTAAGGTTGGGACAGCACACAAAGGGGTGGTGAAGCCAAGCCCCATGCCTGCTCAACATTTGACTTGCCAATGCTGATTTTTTTTGTTAACACTGGGTCAGGCTGAGTGGACCAAATACAGGCCCAGGACCAGTTCAGAAAGGACTCGCTCCAGATGTTAACAGAGGTCTGGAAATTGGTGCCACATTGGTGATGGGGGTTGATTGACCGGACCCTCACTATACTGGAATCTAAATTCGAGTCTCTGGGTTTCGTAGTGCATGGCACAAACCACCAGAATTCACGCTCTCAATGCGAGACTTCCCACTACCCTAACCTCACATGTTAACCTCTACAAACCCTCTCATCAATAATGCAATGTGGTCTGTCGCAGCAATAGGATTGTGTTACCTATGGGCTGAGCACTTGAAGATGTATGGAGATAAGAAGAGGAGGAATCTAATCTTTAAATATACATGAGTCCACATATTAGTAAAATAGGCCATCAGTTCATCAGCCTTTAGGCTTTCCAGACCAATATTTTCAATCAGCGTGTATTTAAGAAAGCAGACTCTTAACCGGTTTCAACCTTTCTGGATCTCATCAACAGCATCAGGCTCAAATTTCGATTTAAAGCTTTCGTGACTGCAGGGATTCATCTTCTTGGTTCTTTCGGTAAAGTCACGTAGAAGGGAAATAATAAAATAATAAAAATAAAACATAATAAAATAATTTTCACGACGTTTCGGCCACAACGCAAGCAGCCGTCCTCAAGTGAAGAACAGGTCTGTCGGAAAGACTTCAGATGCTATCTTTCCGACAGACCTGTTCTTCACCTGAAGACGGCTGCTTGCGTTGTGGCCGAAACGTCGTGAGAATTAGTTTATTATGTTTTATTTTTATTATTTCCCTTCTACGTGATTTTACCGAAAGAACCAAGGAGAAGCATCAGGCTCCTTAAACACGTGCTGCTGGACAACCAGATGTTATTCGCAAGATCGCTCCACATAAATTTGGGAGCCTGTTCAATGCAAGTAAAAATGAGAAGCAATAGCATACATTTGAAAGCAGGGGCCAGTTGGATAGATTGACATGTGGAGAGATTGGGCGCCAGTGTGACCAAGGGGTTAAGGAGGGCAGACGCTGCCCGACTGTGGAGAGCTTCGTTATTCAGTCCCATTGAGGGCCCAATCTGTGCTCAGGGGTTGTTTTAAAGCGGTCCCTTCTTAATAGGAATTCATTTTTAGAACACAAACTGCTATACTGTATGTGCATTTGGTAATATTTAATTAAGTTGATGCCATTAACATCATAACTCCAATTATAAAGGAATGAAGTACCCCGGTCTGTACAGCAGTTTGCGTGCTAATACATTGTTCAACATTTGCTCCACCACAATGCAATTGTAACTGAACGTATAAACACTCCTGGTAAATCAACACATTCACTGAGGGAAGGGGGGGAAAAAAAACGATCTCTGCTTTGCAAAAGGGCAACCTGCCAGAGAGATGTAAGGCTGGATAAAGGTAGCAGCACGGTTTAATGAATCGTCTATGCTCAATGAACAGGTCTGGTAATTGTCGGATGGCCTGTGTTTTGACCTGAGCAACAATTTAGCTAATGATCCATTGTAGATGCGGGCGACGATGTGATTCATCTTGGTCTGATTGCAAAACACTTGCAGGGGACAGATTTCTCCCAAAACGATTTTCTTAAATACATTTGGGCCAATATAAAAAAAAAATAGATACAAAATTTGTTCTCTCTGTCCTAAACGGCGGTGTAAAGGTGCACGCGTTGAGCAGCACATTGTTAATACCTTGCTACCTTTAAATAATGAAATGCATTTACATGTCACATTCTTGTCAACCCCAGCTGTACAGTGATGCAACGAGGACTCTGAACGTTCACAGCGGATATAGGGCCAGGCAATGTCTTTACACCGGACCAGATGGCGGCGTCAATGCTTCCCCTGACGATCAGAGAGCCTGCATGCATTTCCCTTCCCATAGAGCGTGAGTGAAACATCTCTGTTCATTAACACTTCCACTGGGATCATCTGTTCACTCTTCACATATTTTTCCAGCCCCCTGTTTTTTTTTCTTTTTCTTTCCAGGCCAAACCAAGGGCACATTCTGGACTAGCAATACCTCTGACCAGAGCCGGATTAAGTTTTAGGGGAGCCTGGGGCTGTTTTTTGTTAGCTTTTGCGGATCTTCTTTGAATATTTAATGCATTCTATTTACTCTTTCACCGTCACCTATGTCTGATGTCAAACGCTCCATTATTAACTTTATCTTTTTAAGATTTCGGTTCTAGTCTTTAAATGTGGGTTTAATCAACAAATGACCTATAAGATTTATCGCAGTGCTACAGTATTGCATTTCAACCATTGTAAAATAGAAAACAATTTCAACTCGTGCAGTGTCTCAGTGCAACCGCATCTTAAGATGCTTGACATATACTTTATAAAGGATAACGCAGGATAAAAAGATCTTGGTGAAATATCAATAAAAACAAAAACCATCAGCTTGGATATCAAGGACATCATAATGAAGGTGATGATAGTAAAAATACAAAAACCAAAACCCCCCAAATGTTTACCCAAAACGGACAAGGCACATCTTGATATTATAAAAGAGTGAATTTTGTTTTGTGAGAACTCTCAAATTCTGATGCCCTAAGCTGCAGTCTGTGACCAGCCCTGGCAGTGACCACAGAAAGCATAAGCCATACAGATACTGTGCACCCCACAATTAATAGATGCATGGCTGTGTAGCTTCCTAAAATATAAACCACTGAACGATATGTGTTTGACTCTCATATCACTGCGCCAAGACCTACAAAGTGTACAACAGAGAAATATATAAATCCCCCTAAAAATCCAATGGAACCTTCAAAACTTGGAATAATCCAAATAAATTGAAGACTGAGACACGTGGTCCCGCAAGAACAAACAGTAATCTAATACGTCACACCCACCATTAAGAATATAAGTAGACTCGGGCAGGCAATGGCAAGGGAAAGGTTGAGACTCAATGACAAAAGCAGTTATCCATTGGCGGTCAGGAGATAGAAAGCATATAGGGGGTGGGAGGCCAATAAGCAAAACCTTATGATAAAATCAGGGGACAGAATGATAAGACAGATGACAGATACAGGAGATTCAATAACGTGGAAGGAGCTTAAACAGGCATCAACCAGTAAGGGCAAACAACACTGAGGGGGATGATGATGATGATGATGCCGATAATAATGCTCATGAAGATTGTAACAATGCATCAATTCGTCGATTAAAATCGAGTCCGACACTCAAGACACACGAACCTTTCTGCATATTAACTATTTTCAGTTTGTTTGCTGTCATTATTTCATGTGACCCCTGCAGTAACTCGAGGTGCTACGACACACAATGTAAAAAAAAACCCACAGAATTTACTCATGGCCTCCGAATTGTGACGATTTTATACAACGTAAGATTAGAAAATGTTGGCTGGGTGGCTCAGAGGTCAGAGCACTGGGCTGGCACCACTGATGTCATAGGGATGAATCCCTGGTTCCAACCACCAATGATTAAACCAACTTCTCAAGTGTAGATTATCGATTGCCTCTGCCCAGTCATCAATGCAACAGAAACATAATCATATCATTTGGTTGCCGAAATTCCAGCTCTGAGAATAAAATATTAATGACTGAACATTTCTGTCTGTAGCAGGGTGGGAAAGTGCTACTCCTGGTGTGGGGACAAGAGTGTCACTAGATGTTGTTTGAAAATAGATCCTGCAGACCGGCTCTCGAACAACACAGGGTGAAACACTGCCCTCCCAGAGTTCCGACATCACACCGATACCGCATTATCATCATCATGAGCCGGAGTTAATCTGCCGCTGGATGAAAGCTTCTTCAAGCTGATACCAAACGCAGTAAAATATCTGCTTAAATTGTCTACCCTCCAAAACCTCCCCCCGCCCCGCTTAAAAACCCCACAAAACTCCTAAAGAATTACAGACGGAAACAAACCACCCATGGCAACATCAAACACCACAATCCGAGCCGTGACAGGCCAAGCACGCTCCGGCACTCTCACCTTTGACCGAAGTGTTGGGCGGCGGGGATTCGCAGGCGTCGAGCCAGGGAGGGTCGCCAAGCCCGGCGAAGTCTCGCATGCGAAGATAGCTGATGGAGAGGCGCACGATGGAGGCTTTGTCCAGCTGGCTCGTGATGGCGCCTGGCAGCGGCAGCAGCTTGGCCAGCTCGTAGAACTCAAAGTTCTCCTTGCCGCGTCGCGACCGCGCCGCGTCGCGCGACTTCTCCTTGCGCAACGCTTGCAGCCTGCACCCCCACCCCCCCCGGACATTAGCGGTGGGTTGATGGGGTGATGGGGTGATGGGGATGGGTGGATGGGGATGGAGTGATGGGATGATTGGGTGATGGGGATGGATGGGGATGGGGTGGTGGGGTGATGGGGATGGGTGGGTGGATGGGGATGGAGTGATGGGGATGGGTGGATGGGGATGGAGGGATGGGATGATTGGGTGATGGGGATGGATGGGGATGGGGTGGTGGGGTGATGGGGATGGGTGGGTGGATGGGGATGGAGTGATGGGGATGGGTGGATGGGATGATTGGGTGATGGGGATGGATGGGGATGGGGTGGTGGGGTGATGGGGATGGGTGGGTGGATGGGGATGGAGTGATGGGGATGGGTGGATGGGGATGGAGTGATGGGATGATTGGGTGATGGGGATGGATGGGGATGGGGTGGTGGGGTGATGGGGATGGGTGGGTGGATGGGGATGGAGTGATGGGGATGGGTGGATGGGATGATTGGGTGATGGGGATGGATGGGGATGGGGTGGTGGGGTGATGGGGATGGGTGGGTGGATGGGGATGGAGTGATGGGGATGGGTGGATGGGGATGGAGTGATGGGATGATTGGGTGATGGGGATGGATGGGGATGGGGTGGTGGGGTGATGGGGATGGGTGGGTGGATGGGGATGGGTGGATGGGGATGGAGTGATGGGATGATTGGGTGATGGGGATGGATGGGGATGGGGTGGTGGGGTGATGGGGATGGGTGGGTGGATGGGGATGGAGTGATGGGGATGGGTGGATGGGGATGGAGTGATGGGATGATTGGGTGATGGGGATGGATGGGGATGGGGTGGTGGGGTGATGGGGATGGGTGGGTGGATGGGGATGGAGTGATGGGGATGGGTGGATGGGATGATTGGGTGATGGGGATGGATGGGGATGGGGTGGTGGGGTGATGGGGATGGGTGGGTGGATGGGGATGGAGTGATGGGGATGGGTGGATGGGGATGGAGTGATGGGATGATTGGGTGATGGGGATGGATGGGGATGGGGTGGTGGGGTGATGGGGATGGGTGGGTGGATGGGGATGGAGTGATGGGGATGGGTGGATGGGATGATTGGGTGATGGGGATGGATGGGGATGGGGTGGTGGGGTGATGGGGATGGGTGGGTGGATGGGGATGGAGTGATGGGGATGGGTGGATGGGGATGGAGTGATGGGATGATTGGGTGATGGGGATGGATGGGGATGGGGTGGTGGGGTGATGGGGATGGGTGGGTGGATGGGGATGGGTGGATGGGGATGGAGTGATGGGATGATTGGGTGATGGGGATGGATGGGGATGGGGTGGTGGGGTGATGGGGATGGGTGGGTGGATGGGGATGGAGTGATGGGGATGGGTGGATGGGGATGGAGTGATGGGATGATTGGGTGATGGGGATGGATGGGGATGGGGTGGTGGGGTGATGGGGATGGGTGGGTGGATGGGGATGGAGTGATGGGGATGGAGTGATGGGATGATTGGGTGATGGGGATGGATGGGGATGGGGTGGTGGGGTGATGGGGATGGGTGGATGGGAAAAGGGTGATGGGTGGATGGGGATGGAGTAATGGGATGATTGGGTGATGGGGATGGATGGATGGGGATGGCGTGGTGGGGTGATGGGTGGATGGGAAAAGGGTGATGGGGATGGGTGGATCGAGATACGTTTTGGTGATTTGTGGATGGGGATATGGTGATGGGGATGGAGTTATGGGGATGGGTGGATGGAGATCGATGTATGGGGATGTGTGTATGGGGATTTGTGGATGGGGATGGGAATAGGGTGATAGAATGTGTGGATGGGTATGGGTTGATGAGCGTGGGTGGGTGGGAATGGGTTTATTGGGAAAGCAAGAGAAGGAAACATGCCAGTGGAAATAAAATTACACGGCTTGTATTACAGCGTAGTCCTTGGAGCCAAGTCAATGCTGGCTATTGAGATGTAAGGTTCGCATGTAATTATATTATTTCAAGGGAGAACCATAAACAACATAGTTATTCAAACAATAAAAATACACCATGGGTCTAATTTCCACTAATGTCAAATCCTAGTTGTGCAATATTTGCAAAGACAGCAGCGGCGTTTTGGTGTCGAAAGAAAAGCTTAATTTGCCCTAAACTAGGCAAAATGGGCTGACTCTCCCCAAACTAGTAGCCAGGCCCATTGTCATTTACTCTGAAGCTTAATGGAGGCCTATTAATTCCATGCAGCCCTGCTCCGCAACTGCACACTGACATCACCGCGCCAGTGCAGGAGGCACCGCTGGCTGCAGTGAGCTCTGCAATTGGTTCAAGGGAAGACACATGACGTGTAGGGATGTCGCCTTTTGCCATGGACAATCTCAGATATTGGCAACACACACAGAGCACATGAGTCGGTCACGAGCACTCGTTAGGCCTAATCATTTCTATGGATAGTTCGAATCGAGAGAAACGCAAGCAATTCACCTCCGATTATCACGGTTGGCTACATACGGTGCGAAAGAAGTTAAACATACACATATATACATAACATAATCACTTAAGCAATTCTAGTTCGCTCTTGCAAAATGCCAAGTGCTCTTTAATCCTTCTCAAAGGTTACATTTTTCATGAATACACAATTAAAGACACAAGCCACAATGCGATTGTGGTCATGCAACAATACTATGGACCATATAGATGGAGGAATAGCAACACGACACCAAATCAAACTCCTGAAGTCCTTACGTCGTGGATAGAAAACATCGACATTGGCATTTAGCTCCAAAATATATTACCATCCTAGCCAATAATATAACAGAAAGGTTACATTTTACCACAGGCACATTTTTAAAAAAGATATTTACAGATAATCATCATCAGCCATGATCAATGGACTTTTTATACAATGTACTTATTTATAAACACGGGACAACCTACTTTGTTGAACTATCATTTGTGGCTAGGTCACTTTTGAGAAAGAGCTATATAGCTCAGTGGGCCTTACCTTGAAAAAAATGTTAAGGGTTTAATTTCTACGTGAAGTACTCCCCAAGCCACGAGAGAAGTAGTCGGTGGTAATTTAAAACGATTAATCGACGTAAATAAACGTAACCGACTCAATGCCCCAGCTCTAACAATAACGAGGATTTTTTAATGAAATATCACAGCAAAGGTTACGTTTACCAAACATGAAAATTCCGATAGACATGCTGTACTTTTTTTTTACATGTAAATCGGTTGAAAAGCTGAAAATCCATTTGATGACAACGGGCGTACGCAAGTCACCGCAAAGTGACTTATCCAATTAACAAGTGCCAATTGTGTACAATCGCCGTTTTGACGGTGGGTGTCTATTTTTTTTGGTGTGTTCATCCCAAGACAAAACGCCGCGGTTGACTCCGCCGTTGGGCTGCCTGGCGTGTTAGCCGCACCCCCCTAAGCCAGCCAGACAAAGTACGGTAATGACTTTGCGGCGGGCGGCAGGGCACAGATGTTTCGCTGCCAGAAGCCCTTAATCACGTCGGCGTGTGCCGCACAGCCATCGGGAGCAGCGATCTTGCGATGGAAGACTCAGCCGAGCACACGGAAGCAGCGACGCAAGCAACGTTTGAAAGAGCGTTAAAAATGGTTTCGTAAAAAAATAGATAGATGCAGCGATAACCCACGCTGTGCTCCTTTGCTGGGCAAGAGACAAGGCGGTTCACACATCCACCGACGAAAGCGCGCTCACGATCAAGTCGCATTACGTAGACACGGCTTGGGAGTGCGTGTAAAATGTTACGCTGCATTTGGAGGCAATTACCAAGCGGAAGCAAATACGAAATGTATTCGTGCTGAAACTCGCTGCGTAATAATGCGAAACCCGAATGCGCGATGCAAGTTGGTGTTAGCAAAACAGCTCTTTACTTCACCACCCGGTTAAAACATTTTACAATTATTCAAGCGTGTCTGTGAAGGTGGACAACGCCAGGCAGAGAGCCACCTTCCCGGTAATGTAATCGCCTTGGCACTTTGAGAATACACATTAATTATAATTTAACGCAACAAAAAAAACATCCTGCCGCTACAAGGCGAAGGGGGTGCAAAAAAATAAGGCAGGCGACGGCGCTCAGAAACACCGGGAGCATCAATTACAGGGCCCAATTCCAGCCGTGGCTGAACAAGCCCCATCTGCTACTGTCCGCAAGACTCCGCTATCAAGCGCGTATTATCAGCCGTCTTAATTATGCCACGCTGGCTTGAATGAGCGAAATGGATTCCCTGAGCAAGGGAGCAGAAGTTAATTAAATCTTTGCAGTCTGTCACGGTTTAAGATGGTTTAAATCGCGCCTTATCTCCGCCGAATCATAATTTATTTATTTTGGTCGTGGGCGGCCGTGCGTGCGTGCCTCGCTCTTGCTGCCACTGTGCCAGCCAACTGAGCAAATGCCCAATGTTGAAGAATGCCCCCTCCCCGCTCAGTTTCACGAGTGCACATGTTCAGAGCGTGCGAATTCGTTGAAAGGCGAGCAATCTTCATCGAGAATGCTACATTGTTTTCTTTGGAATCGGTGACTTCTGGTCAAACAACGCTTGAAAAGTGATGGGGGTTTTATATTTACGGGGGGGGGGGGTGGGGGGGGGAATGAGGTGTGCTTTGGCCTCCAAATGCCACTCAGGTATTCTCGATGGCTCATTTTTCATCCGCGCGTCTGCCCTTCAGTTAGGAGCACAAGGGGTTCCCTCCCTCTGCGCCGCGACCACCTGCCCAAAATGCAGCGATCCGCTCGCGTTACGCCAAACCACCGTAACACGACATTATTCTCGAGCCCGTGCATGCGAGGAGCGTGGTTTGGTGACAAAACAAAAACCCTAACGCGCTGTTTGAACGGCACAATGGAGTGTAAGGGCCATGCGCTGGAACAGCACGCCACGTTATTTCGCAAAACGTTTAAAAAAAACACAATTCTTTTTTTGTCCTCCCAGTCGAACGGGCATTTAATCCGCGCGTGCATTTGCGTGCCTAACAA